ACATTTTGTTGTGATGGTTGAAAAGATTAAAATATGAAGTGACTTCTCTGTATAATTGATGGGTTACACTTTAACATCTGTACTTGTCCTGCAAACTTATATAATCCGCTTCGTCGGTCAGTCACAGTGTTTGTCACGAAATTCCCTATCTCCTAAAGGTTCGGCTTGTGAGACACGGTCAAGCATGGGATGGGTTGGTCGTGTCTCAAGAAGTACGAAATACACAGTTAACTGGAGTCCCGCCCAGAGCGGGCGTGGCGCGCACTGGAATGAGAGGCACTGGCGCGAAAAATTTCAGATTTTATTCCAAAACAGCCGAGGAACCGCGAAAAACGTCTAAAGATGTGCATCAATAAGCCAGATCGAATTAGGGAGACCCACCCCCGGTGGGCGGGGCGTTCTCTAAAAAAGCAGTGCTTTATGAAAAATTTCATAACTCGGTTGGGAGAAAGCCTACAGAGCAGAAAACAAATTGGTGTAGGGAGCAATGTCTAAGGTGTTTCCAGCATACATGATGTGAACGGAGGCCCGCCCACAATGGGCGGAGCGTGTCGTGAAGCGGACAGCATTTTCTACAAGAGCTCATAAATCGGCTCCGAGATGACTTAGAGACCGGAAAACAACGGATAGAGGTCAGGAGGGGAGGGGAAGCTAAATGTCAGGGATGGGCGTGGCTTACATCAAAGTGGGCGGAGTTTGCAATCAATCTTATAACTCGGTTCCAAGGTCTCGGGACTGGGGAAAAAGGCCATAGAGTTTGTCTACGGGAGGGAGGTCATTATCTATAGGTGCGCCAACGTGGGCGGAGTTATCAACGAAGCATTATGATTCGGTTGGCGGAGAGATGAAACACAATTATTAGTAGTGTACGAAGCATGCATCGAAGTGTGCGGGGTTTTCTACGAGCATTCATAACCCATCATGTTTCCTACATGTTCTATGGATAGTTCGGCTCGGCGATGACTTAGAGGACAGAAAAAAAACGTGGGTTGAGGTTAGAAGAGGAAGGAGGTGAGATGTAAACGCTCGGTGTGGCGTAGACTGAAGGGGACTAAGACTTTTGAGCTTACATCGCTTCCAAGAAGTTCCAGTGGCCGAGAATAAAGTGGATAGGGGAAGGGAAGGGGATCAACTGCTCGGAGCTAAAAAAAAAGTCTCAACAGTCCAGAGATAGCACGGAGATCGATAAGAAAACATTTGCTTCCAGTTTAGCGGTAAGTAAATCATTCGTTTGCATCTGGCAAAATTTGAAAATTTCTGCAGAGCGTTCCATATCGCCTGAGCAGCGTTGTGCGCGCAACACGTGCGTCGGCGTTGCCAACTGGTAGTATATAAATGAGTCAGAAGTCGTATGACGCGGGCGGTCGTGGCACAGCATGCACAAAGGTGAACCGACATCGAAATGTTCAGTCTTGACTTGATGTCACTCGTCGATCCTCGCATTTCTTTTAGTTTTTGCGGATACTAGATTTTTGAGAAATGTTCTCACGTACATACGCTTTTTACCACTAGTTGCCACTTGTATCCAGCAGCCAAATACGTCTGACAAGGGAAGGATACCAGGTCGAAGTGGCCATTTGTAACGAGACATACACCACTAGATGTGTTTTTGGACGCTGATCTCGAATCTGCTCTCCAAATCTGCGAAACGATTCTCTGAACGTAGTTATGAAGCGAGATAGTGCAGTGGCAGCGGCCCGGGCCGACGAACGAGAGGTCGTGAGTTCGAGTTCTTGGCGAGTTCTCACTTTTGCTTTTCTTGTGAACGTTGTTTAAGGGACTCTTATCCATGCTAAGTTATCAGCGATTGCCTATAGCACAAGTAAACAGAGCTGGCGAAGAGCTTCGAGCACTGTGCGCGTCATTTGCAAGTGACCGCCTCTGACACCCGT